ATAATCAACTTTTGTTCTTCTATAAAAATTTACACAAAGAATTTTTAAGAAATTCAGTGCTTTCATTGGATGACAAATAAAGCTGGACACTAATATTATTTATTTCAGTTTCTAAATTTGGTTCTACACATCCTCTTATGTCTTGTAAACATAACTTTTCTATTATATAGAAAATCAATTAATCAGAAAAACAATGCGCCGTACGTTATCACTGATATTTTGTGCGCCATACGTTATCATTTCCAGAAAATGCCCCGATATTAATATTTCAAGCAGTTATTCTAGCCAGAATGGGCCTGAATGCTTAGATGATGATATATTACAACTTTTTAAAGTCAGTGGTTCAAGTTAATATACATATATGTAAACGAAACAGTGAATTTTGGAGAAAAAGCTGTACGTTACCACGATCAAACCGGTGGCAAATTATTTTGCTTCGAGCATTTCAGATGAAGTACGGGACTAAACATCATGAAATAAAATCCTGTGTGCCTGAAAAATTGTGGAGAAGGTTGTTATATGTACTTTTACATTAGAACATCACGAATTTCAGAGAAAAAAGGGAAAAACCTACTTTTTGGCTGCATCCGCCATCTTGTTTGTTTGGGAAACGAACGGCGTGATTCTTCCCCGTGGGTCTAGTAAAACATTTATGGAGAAATGTACAAGAATTAGCAAAAACGCTTGGAGATTTTCTGCCCAATGTTTTTAAACACCAAGAACTTCCTTCTGAATATAATGAGATGACAAATGCAGCCATGTTGTCCTTATTGTAGAATCTGGTCAGCTAAGGGGATAATACCTGCATGGCAGTCATAGTTCAAGGGGTTAATAGTCATATTCATGTTTCAGTGTATATGTAGGTAAAGAGAATGTCAAGGCAGTAAAGATCAAGGCAAAGAGATCAATTATTGTGTTAACAGGAAGTCCACAATGACTGACTGAGGAAGAGGACAAACAGAGGTAATGAGGCAGTTTTAACAAGAGCTGTCAGAAGGACAGCGCGCTCGACTTTTTTAGTGCTTGCCTATAAAACAAAACTTTGACAGTTAAGGGCACACAAGACTTTAACTAGGAATTTCTAAGTACAAATCAAGAAACATTTTCACAGAGTTATCTTCTCTTGCTTACAGATAGGTCTCATGATGGCACATAAGAACTCCAACTTCCAAAGTAATATCTCAAATGGTTAAGTCAACAAGTGGACAAGAATGAAAATCTTAACTGAGTTTCTAAGTGAAAAAGGGCCATAATTCAAATAAAATCCTTAACAGAATTACCTTCTCCTGCCCATGTTTTGGGACCATGATGGTAAACAAGTATTCCAACTTTCAAATTAATATCTCAAACAGTTCAGTCAAAAAGTGGACTGGTACTAAAAACTTAACCAAGATTCTAAGTCGATAAAAGGCCTTAATTTTTAAAACAAATCCTTGACAGAGTTACCTTCTCTTGCGTACAGATGGGGGTAATGATGTGAAATAGCATTAAAAGTTTCAAAGCAATATCTCAAAGGGTTAAGGCAATAAGTGGATTTGACCCATATTCAATGTATTTTCTAAGTCAAAAAGGGGCATAATTCTGTCAAAAACCTTGACAGAGTTATGTCCTCTTGTCTGTTGATGAAGGTCGTGATGGTAAACAAGTATGGTCAGTTTCAAAGCAATACCTCCAATGGTTTTGAAATAAAGTGAGGTGGTACAAAAAACTTAACCAAGCTCAATACACTTTCTAAGTCAAAAAAGGGCCATAATTCTGTCAAAAACCTTGACAGAGTTATGTACTCTTGTCTGTAGATGGAGGTTATGATGGTGAACAAGTATGGTAAGTTTCAAAGCCATACTTGTAATACTTCTGAAATAAAGTGGGGTGGTACGAAAAACTTAACCAAGGTGTGACGCCAACGCTAACGCTAACGCCGACGCCGACGCCGGGGCGAGTAGGATAGCTCCCCTTTTCATAGAAAAGTCGAGCTAAAAACTGAACAAGATGAATGTCTGAGGAGACAGCATGCTCAACTAATTAAATAGGATGCAGTAAAGGAAGACAGAACTATGAAATAAATAATCAATTAGGATTTAAGATCTTGCCATATCAGTATGAAGAAAGCCATGTTCTATATATTTTGAACCACATAATATATACATCATGTGATCATGTCAATAAAAGTTAAATAGACATTTTTATGCTTTAATGGAAAGGACAGCAATTTGGTATCTGAAATTCAGAAACAAAACTGATAAAAGCAAAAGCCAAAAAGAATACAAAATTCTTAAAGTAAAATTATAAGTTCAAAGAGGAAAAAACTCTTGAAATAAAGATGCTACAGTTACAAACCTTGTCATACATGATGTGAATGATGACAAAGAACAATAATTTTATCTTATGTCTAAAGTAGATACCATTTATAACAACAAAGATAATAGTTTTAAAAAAATTAAATTTTCAAATAAAGTTCAAAAATGGAGATAACTCTGGAAATACATGAACTAGAGTTATAAATCTAATCAAATATGAACAAAATATGCAAAATAGGAGAGAATATTTACAAGAAAAGTATGTATATAAATTTATAATGGCATCTTCTTACATAGTTCATTGAAATTCAGTAGCTATGTTTAAAAAAAATTGACTGGACCTGGCAGTTATGTTAGAAACTGTTTTTTCACTCATTTAACCTGCTGAATTTGTTAATATGACTTGTCCACCTTCCATTTTTGGAACTGTTCATTTTCAATTTTGGGGATAACAAGATGACAAGATAAAGTTAGCCAACAATATATGGCCTGACCAAAGCTTATCTATTCCAGCAGGGTAAGGGTTAAAGTGAATTGGTCTTTAAAGATCTTGCGAAATGGTGGTGAGATACATGATCTGATATTACATATCAATATTTATAATATACTTGTAAAGTTATGAAATATTCATAAATATTGATTAAATCAAATGCATAGTTTCGTTTTCCATATTTTCATTGTAAATATTTATTTTTCACTGCAGTGCAACATATTTTCTATACTTTCACTGCAATCTTGCCCTTGACTTCTTTCTTCAAAATTGGGGACACAAAATAAAGTGCTCCATCAACATTTTGTTTTCCAAATATATTTCATAAGAATACCCAAATGATACATTACTATTATTGTTTTTATAAATATTTGAAAGACTTATGGAAAATGTGCCCATTGTAGTATAATCCACTTTGAAGTGAATTTGAAGTTTTTAGATCACCACTATTACTTACATTTCTTTAACCTGTATTTTCTTTAGAATTGAATGACTTTTTAGTTGACAGAACTTGGATATGGTTATTGAAAGATTGCTATAAAACAGTATTTTCATTGATTGCTACATATGATTTTGTATGGAATGTTTCATAAAATTATAATGATTTATTGAATAAATAAATATACTGATCTGCAGCTATAAAACATTTAAATACTTGTGTGTTGTACATTTGTAGCATGATAATTGTGTCATTTTAAAGGGACTCCACTAAGGTTTTTTGTCAAGTGTTCCAAGTGAAAACAGAAGAGCTGCATGAAAGACCAAATGACACATTTAAAACGAAAAAATGAAAGGAATTTTTTAATGACTTCCCCGTTCATAGGCTTTGCCAAATTTCATATTACTTCTCAACTATTCTCTGCATATTTCTGTTTCGAGTGCCTCAGCTCATTTATGTAATGAATTCAAATTTATGTTTTTTAAGCTTTTAGATGTCAGTGGAGTCCCTTAAAACAATAACAGTGTGTATTATGTGTATCTATAACTGTGATAAAAAAAATATATCTTTGGTATAAACTCACCACCATGACTGCCTGGCAAAGATTAAAGAAACGCAAGCCAAAATTTTCCAGTTTAGTCGGGCAGCTTATTTCAAAACATGCTTACTTACCGTTAGTTTCTGCAAAGGCGGTGCCAAATATGTATGGTAAACTATGTTAATTACTTCCCTTGTTCCTTTCCTCCACCAGCTCAGGTCTACTCCTTATATATTCAAAAGCAAATATCTTAATTTTATTAAGATGTCAAAAAAATTTGTTGTCTTTAACTAAACAGGAATATGTCAAATACGATAACGTTTACATAATTCTGTTGAAACATGATCATATAATAGGTTATGCAAGGCATTTCAATGAAAAATTACTCTATTTAATTATAAACCAATCTTATTTTAGATATGTGATAAATAGAATATTATATTTGTGTAGATTCAATACTAAATTTATTGAACAAGTTGAAAAAACAATATGTAATATAATGATTTTATTTCACTCGTACAATGAATTAAGTATTAAATCTAACTCATTTAATATCCTCTATAAATATATTCCACTTTTAAGCAACTTTGTATAGAAAATACAGCACAAAAGCTGTTTATATTGTATTGTTACAATCATTATCACACAATATGCCATCTAATATGTTATACTAAAAAATCCTGAAATATCTCAATCAAATATCTATTCTACTGTAATGAACCCTTAATGTGCTGCAACAGAAGTAATAAACCTTTGCTACCAGTGAACAGCCAGCCCTGCAACCACATCTCTGCAGTCTGACCAGGCTCTATAATTTATACTGCCGTAGCCAAAATAGTCAGTTTTAAAAATCCTTAAACTTTGAATAGACTTTTCCAAATTCCAAGACATGCAAATCCATTATACAAATTCAGTAGAATGGGACCGTTTATTTTAGGATTGCTAGCCAGCTACATCTACATGATACTGCTTATCAATTCTGATTATGACTAGCCATGCGTGTTCAATCCCTATTAGCAGCAAGCTGTTGTTCCCTTGCACAACAAACTTTACACTACTTGCTCAGTACTAATTGGTTTAAGGAATGGATTCTAGTGTTCTAGCTAAGAGCTTCCTAAACATTCTTTCACAGTCAAACCGAGTTAAATTCTATATCAACTAAAATTTAGAGGGTAATAATGTGGGTGAGAGCAAATTTTCTAGAAACTAACTTCACTTACATAAACAGGTGTATGAGATCTTGTTGTTTATGTTGCGACTGTTTAGTCCTGATACTAAACAAGCCAAGCCGTCTTATCAGCCATTCTAGATCCAGGTTTCCAGACTTCAGTCCCTGGTACAAGTCTTCATATTTGCGCTGGCTTTCACCGATTATTTGCATTATCAGCCAACCACCTAAAATGTCACAAAGATGTATTTTCAATAAAAAGGTTCAGTTATAACAATATTTAAATGAAACAGTAAGTGCATTCTATAAAGAAAAATTTTAAATGTTGCCATCACAGTTTGACCAAGTGAGTTTATGGACCATAGTGATGATTGCATGTTACTGTCAATCATAGGGTTCTGGTAGGATGGTCCCCTATGGTACTTTTGTTCTTATTAAATTCAACAAATTGTACAAATAAAAATAACTTGTTTTTACTATTTCATTAAATTGTGTTTAATTGTCGCATCTTGACTTTAAAATACCCATGTCATTCATAGAATAACTCAATGATTTAAATTAGAAACATCTATAGTCATTCAGTCATGTTTTGAATGGGAGCTTAAACGGGAGCACTATGGTACCATGGTATGTAAATTCATGGCCCTTTTTGGCTTCTGTAGAATTTTTTTCAACAGAATATGACGTCACTGCGGTTTCAGCAGACGACCTTCACTAAACAGAACTTGAAATTATCAGTTTAACTGGAAAATATGGCGTAAAATAAAACAGTATTTTCGACACACTCTGACAGCTCAATGACAGATATTTATTTGAAATGAAAATATCTCCAATAATTTCTATCCAAATTCAAAAAAGCAGTACTTTCACTTTAATGGTGGAAACAGTTGATTGGTGGCGTTCAGTGAATAAAGAAATACATTTTCTGATTACACAGGAATGGGCAACGACGCGGTACCCGCAGGGAGTACTATACTATCCATCCTCTACCACCAATTTCATGCTATAACCCCAAAAATTATAAATAAAAGTCAATATCCACATTTAGTATTCATAAAAACCATAATATGATGCTATTTAGGAAAAATGTATCAATTTTAAGTGCATTGTTGTAGAATAATGCACAGCTTGGGGTAAAATGCGCAGGAATATACATCTTGACCACTAAGCTATGTGGGTTCTGTTTCAAAATATTTTTTTCTTTACCTGTTGTTTTTTCTTGGTAACAAGAGACCTCCAGCAATCTTCTGAAGCAAGATTTTTAGATTTGCCAAAACTACCTCAACAGCATCTGTAATAAGAAAATATCATTATTTATTTAATTTAACCCATGAAATATGGTGCTATATTAGTCAAATATATTTCATATTTTTTAAAAATAAATATGAAATATAAATATGAAAGTGGGCGGAGTCAAAACTCATATTTATTTTAGGGGACTTCTTTCCCCATTTTGTTTGAAAAATCTGATAAATACAAAACAACTTTTTGTTGAATTTTGTTTCGAAAACTACATGTAATCACCGAGGCCAATATGCCTAATTGATTAATTACAAAGCATTTGAACAATTAACTGTGCATTATTTAATGAAATAAATATCCCAAACAGTGATTTTATCGTAAAAATAAAATCACTGTTTGGAGATCAGCTGCCAGGAATTTTAAAACAAGGGCGTAGCCCAAGTGAAGTAATGATGAGCATCTGAACGAAAAACAGTGATTTTATTTTTACCATAAAATCACTGTTTGGGATATTTTATTTCTTAAATAATGTACAGTTAATTCTTCAAATGCTTTGTAATTAATCAATTAGGCATATTTGGATATACGATTTCAATGAATTTCACAAATTTTGTTCCCTTTCACCCACAGATGCTTTATGCCAAATTTAGTTTAAATTGGTTCAGTGGTTCGAGAAAAGAAGCTCAAAATGTTAAAATGTTAACACAGGACACACAACTCACAATGATGCACAAAAACGTAGAGCAATAGTGTAAAATAAACAAAGGGCAATAACTCCAAAATTAAGGATGAGAGGGTAAAGGTTCTTATTCACTGCACTTCTACTCAGTAAAATCTATATACCTACAAAGTTTTAAGTAAATACCTTTTATAGTTCTTAAGTTATATTCCAGACAAAGTTCAAAGTGTAACAAGGTTGTAAAAGCAGACAGCGAAGTTCCACTAATTAAATACTTGACGCAGTAAGGAAGACAAAAATATTAAAGAAAAATCAATTATGATATTATAATAAATATACATGTATTTCTTCTTATGACAAGAAGTTATAGTTGTTAACATAAATTCGAAGTTCAAGGGGGAATAATTCGGGAAATAGTTATGCTAGAGTTATGAACATTGTCACACAACATGTGTGTTATGATAAGAAATATATATTTGAAGATTGCAGTAGATACCTTAAAAAGTAAAGAAGTTATAATTCTTCTTAAAGAAAATTCTAAGTTCAAAGGGAGATAAATCTGAAAATATTGCTTCAAGAGTTATGAACCTTGTCACATAAGATGTGGTTGATGATAAGGAATGTGTATTTGAAGTTTGAGGTAAATACCTTTAAAACTAAAGAAGTTATAGTAAAAAATAACATTTTTCAAGTAAAATACTGGTGCTAGAGTTATGAACCTTGTCACATAAGATGTGGTTAATGAAAAGGGGGTGGCGCTGAAAAAGTGGTCACTTTTTTATACAACATTTCTCAAACAAAACAAATGTTGGGAGCCTAAATAAACCATTTGAGACAACAACAAGATTGCATTTGAGAAAAATGCTATGCCACCGCATTATTACAATACTAAATAGTAGTGTAAGAACAGATTTTTTTGTTTCTATACAATTAAAGATTGTCATAATGCATAGATCCCTGACCTATCTAATTCTTATTATCAGATTAGTGGTTAAATCTATTGTTAATCCAATAAAAGATCAGAGTAGGAATATATCAATGCACTTGAGTCTGGTGAATTTGGTGGTGAAGGTCATATTTCACACAACCTAAATTTCATGACTATATCAAAGGGCAACACAGTAAGACACTTTGTCAAAATCTAGGTCAGCTGATAACAAGAAATGTCGAACGACACATATGCCCCCTTTCTAGCCCTTGACTCACATTATTGGTAATTTTGTTAGAGAAACTTGCCATAAATAGGTACATTGAAGTATTCAATTATGGAAAAAAGAAAAATAATGAAGACTTTGCAATGAATAGTTTAATATATAATAAGATAATGAGACATTTAAGGCCCCTGTGACCTTGACCTTTGACCTAATGACCACAAAATCTAAAGAGGTCACTTACTAGTTATGACCAATCAATATTAGAAATATGAAGACTTTGTGATGAAAAGTTTTCAAGATAAAAAACGGAAACTATTCTCACATTTAAATGATTTAAGGCCCCTGTGGTCTAGTGACCCCAAAAGCAATACGGGTCATCTGTTGGTTATGACCAATCAATATGTGAAATATGAAGACTTTGTGATAATTATCTTGAAAGATAATGAGCTGAAATCCTCTACCATTCAAAGACCCTGTGACCTTGACCTTTGACCTGGTGACCCCAAAATCTATAGGGGTCATATACTAGTTATGACCAATCTATATGTGAAAGATGAAGACTTTGTGATCAATACTTTTCAAGATAATCAGCAGAAACCATTTTGACATTTAAGGCCCCTGTGACCTTGACCTTTGACCTAGTGACCCAAAATCAAAAAGGGGTAATGTACTAGTTATGACCAATCAGTATGTGAAATATGTAGACTTTGCGATGAATACTTTTCATGATAAATCAGCAGAAACCATTCAGACTTTTAAGGCCCCTGTGACATTGACCTTAAACCTAGTGACCCTAAAATCAATAGGGGTCATCTAATAGTTATGACTAATCTATATGTGAAATATGAAGACTTTGTGATAAATAGTGACCATGATAATAAGCAGAAATCATATAACCATTCAAGGCCCCTGTGACCTTGACCTTTGACCTAGTGACCCCAAAATCAATAGGGGTTATCTACTAGTTATGACCAATAAATATGTGAAATATGACGACTTTGTGATAAATAGTAACCAAGATAATAAGCGGAAATCATATTACCAGTCAATGCCCCTGTGACCTTGACCTTTGACCTAGTGACCCCAAAATCTATAGGGGTCATATACTAGTTATGACCAATCTATATGTGAAAGATGAAGACTTTGTGATCAATACTTTTCAAGATAATCAGCAGAAACCATTTTGACATTTAAGGCCCCTGTGACCTTGACCTTTGACCTAGTGACCCCAAAATCAATAGGGTTCATCTACTAGTTAAAACCAATCAATATGTGAAACATGAAGACTTTGGGATGAATAGTTTTCAAGATAATCAGTGGAAACCATTCCGATATTTAAGACCCCTGTGACCTTGACCTTTGGCCTAGTGAACCCAAAATCAATAGGGCTCATATACTGGTTGTGACCAATCACTATGTGAAATGTGAAGACTTTGTGATGAATACTTTCAAAGATAATCAGCAGAAACCATCTTTACATTTAAGGCCCCTATGACCTTGACATTTGACCTAGTGACCCCAAAATCAATAGGGGTCATCTTATAGTTATGACCAATCACTATGTGAAGTATGAAGACTTTGTGATAAATAGTTTTCAAGATAATCAGCGGAAACCATGTGGTCTACCGACGGACAGACCGACGGACCGACCGACAGACAGACAGACCGACATTAGCAAAACAATATACCCCCTCTTGTTCGAAGGGGGGCATAACAAAGTTCACTTTACATCTTAATCTGTGTGCATGGTTCAAATTTCATAGCTGTAGATCAAAGGACAAGAAAGTAGGTCACATCATCAAATTCTAGGTCACTTGATATCAAAGTTCAATTTTACAACTAAAACTGTGCACATGGTCAAACTTTCATTGCTGTACATCAAAGGACAAGAAAGTAGGTCACTGTCCCCTTGGGCACGGCAAAATTTTAACCCAAGGGTTTAATTCAAAACAATCTTGATACAGGTACTCCACCAAACAACATTTCAAGTCAAACATCTAAGCTGTACATTTGTTTTATTTTCTGTTCATTATGAGAATCACTGCCCCCGGGCAGGGCCAATTTTGACACCAGGGGAAAAATTTGAACAACTTTGGTAGAGGACCTATAGATGATATTATATAGCAAATATCAAAGCTCTATGCCTTGTACCTTCAGACAAAAATATTTTTTATTTTTTTACTATATGTACATATTAAAATCAATGACCCCGTGGCGGAACCAATTTTGACCCCAGGGCTGTAATTTGAACAAACTTGGTAGAGGTTCACTTCACAAAATCTCATGCCATATAGCCTTTGTCAATTCAGAGAGGAAGATTTTTTACTTTATACATATAAGGAAAACTATCACCTCTGGGGCAGGGCAATTTTAACACTAGAGGCATAATTAAAACAACTTTAGTAGAGGACCCATAGATGATATTATATACCAAATATCAAAGCTCTAATCCTTGTACCTTCAGACAAGAAGATTTTTTTTAATTTTTACTATATGTACATTGTGAGAATCAATGACCCCTGGGGGTGGGGCCAATTTTGACCCCAGGGCTATAATTTGTACAATCTTGCTAGAGGTTCACTACACAATGTTTCATGCAAAAATCTTAACTCTAGCCTTTGTAAATTTTTTAAGTTTTTACTATATACATATAAGGAAAACCTATGGCCCCCGGGGCGGGGCTAATTTTGACACAAGAGGCAAAATTTGAACAACTTTGGTAGAGTACCTATAGATGATATCATTTAACAAATATTAAAGCTCTAAGCCTTGTACCTTCAGACAATAAGATTTTTTGATTTTTTACTATATGTATATATTGAAAATCAATGACCCCCGGGGCAGGGGCAATTTTGACTCCAGGGCTATAATTTGAACAATCTTGCTAGAGGTTCACTACACAATGTTTCATGCAAAATATCTAAACTCTAGCATTTGTCAATTGCTAGAAGAAAATTTTTACTATAAGTTTTTACTTAATACATACATGTGTATAAGGAAAACCAATGACCCCCGGGGCGGGGCCGATTTTGACCCCAGGGCAATAATTTGAACAATCTTGGTTGAGGTCTACCAGGAGTGTAGGACAGCCCCCCTGTCTAAAAATGACAAAGGGGACAAAAGCCCACCCCCATGGAATTGACACATAGGACAAAAGCCCCCCCCCCATCAAAAATACAGATAGGACAAAAGCCCCCCCCCCCCAACGGTCCATCAAGCAAAAGCAACCAGATGGACTACTATCTAATTTCACATGCCCAGGTGCTCAAATTCATCAAGGCTCACACAAAGTTTTAAATAAAAATGAAAAAAAATTGTTTTAATGTTTATTTATAATGTATACATGTATATTGAAGTGATAAAAAAGTATATGATAACAGATGAAATAATGCATGCATGCGATACTGAATTCATAGCTTTTCATATACACAACAAGGGTCAGAAGAGTAGTAATGTTAATCACTTTTGTAAAGGGATCAAATTAATATCCTTAGCACTAGTGGTGATGATGATCTGTTTGCATAAATATCTCTATTCTATATGTAAATTTGATGGACGGTTGGGGGGGGGGGGGGCTTTTGTCCTACCTGTATTTTTTTGATGGGGGGGAGGGGCTTTTGTCCTATGTGTAAATTTCATGGGGGGGGGGGGCTTTGTCCACCTTGCCATTTTTAGATGGGGGGGGGCTTTTTGTCGGAAGGGGGGGGGGCTTTTGTCTGTATCCCGTCTACCAGATAAGCCTTATGCAAAACAAGAAGATTTTTTAAATTTATTCTTATAATTCCTTTTTCTGCATGGAATGAAATTCTTTGAACAACTTTGGAAGCCCTTCACCCAAGGATCAATCCTGCTAAGTTTGGTTGAAATTGGACTAGTGGTTTTTCACAAGAAGATTTTTTAAGTTCACTTTATAATCTATAGAACACACACACAAACACACACACACACACACAGGTGAATCGCTATATGCCATGGCACAGCAGATGCTGTGGTGGCATAAAAAGTAGGGGGGGAGGGGGGTGAAAAGGCATCAAAAGGTGTGTATATTGAGTAATGGGTTAAGAAATAAAGAAGTAACAGTAAAAAATAATATTTTTCCAGGAAAATTCTAGGTTCAAGGGGAGATTATTCTTGCAATATTGGTTCTAGAGTTATGAACCTTGTCACATAAGATGTGGTTGATGATAAGTAACATATATTTGAAGTATAAAGTTGATCCTTTAAGAAGTAAAGAAGTATCTATCTATCTTCCATTAATGTCAAACCCCTCGCGGGGACGTAGACATGACTTTAAATTTGTCACTTCAGAGAAAGCTATGAGATACAAGGGAATCCGGGAACCAGTCCCTAGCTCTTATTGAATAGACCACTTGGTTCTTTTATATGCCCAGTGTATAGCACTGATACATGCGTGGATTACCTGGATTTCTTACCAGTACACCTCTTGTTAAGTGGGAAACACTGAAAGTGTCTCTCTGAAAAATCCCAAGGGTGTTACCCAGGATCGAACATGGGACCTCAGGAGTGACAGCCAGTGCCAGGTCTAACCAGCTGAGCTATAGCGCCACCTTTAGCACAGAAACAGTATAAAATAATATTTTTTAAGAAAAATTCTAAGTGTAAGGCGATATAAATTTGAAAATATTGGTGCTTGAGTTATAAACCTTGTCACAAAAAATGTGGTTGATGATAAGGAACATATATTTGAAGTTTAAAGTTGATACCTTAAGAAATGAAAAAGGTATAGTAAAAAATATTTTACTGCACCAAATCTGGACGAGGACGTCGACAGCGGTGTGAGTTGGACAGCTTTCCGTATACTTTGTATAGTCAAGCTAAAAATGAACAAAGGGCAATAACTCAAAAATTAGGTAAGGCAGAATTACTTTTTTTGCACTGTGTGCCTACCCATTGAGATCTATTTACCTACAAAGTTTCTTGTTGATACCCTTGTCTATCCAAAACAAAGTTCAAAGTGTAAAAATGAACAAAGGGCAATAACTCCAAAATTAGGTAAGGCAATTACGGTTCTTTTGCACTACACATTTTTATATTTTAGAATTACGTCCAAGACAAAGTTTAAAAACAAACAAAAGGCAATAACTCCAATAATTGGCAAGGCAGAGTTACAGTTCTTTTGCACTGCACTTCTACTCACTCAGATCTACCTACAAAATTGAAGTTGATATCTCTTGTACATTCTGAGTTATGTCCCAGACAAGAAATCTGCAAATTGGACTGACCAACAAACCAACAGACTGACCACCAGCTGACTCCAGTATATCCCCACAAACTTTATTTGTCAGGGTTATAACAATTAAGACTGTAAATCTATAATCACCAACTGATATTATCAGTCATAACTTTCTGGGGTTATGACTGGTGGGGGGGGGGGGCACACTCGGATTGGGTGGCCGTTTTCATGTCGGTTTAATCGATCGATCGACTTGCCCCTTGAGAGACACCCAAGCTCTATACGCCCGATTCCGTTTGGCCGACTCTGCCGACTTTTGGCAGGGTTAAATGCGGCGACCCGTAGGGGTATCGCATCGTCCATTGTCGTGTATTGCACACCCTGAACAAGGTGGTATCAAATCACAGCATCTTGTCCATAGACTGTCAATAGGTCAATGCACCAAAGAAACATACATGTATATAAAGCACAATTCAAAATTGAAATTAATATGGTATAATTAAGAAATAACAGTTGAAGATGTGTACTTCTCTGTTTAAACTGCAGAGTCGGCTCTTTGAAGTATTGTATGCAGGTAACTTGACAAAAAAGCAATTCTGATCAATTATAGAATATTTCTTCTTAAATAAATCAAGTTATTTATAATACTTACATATAAAACACCTGCAATGGTTCAGGGTTATCTTAGTACTAAGGAGTTCACTTACCGGTACATGTCCACTTATAAGTGGCCTGCTATCTTGTGAAAGTGTGAAACATGAGTTTCTATTTCGGACCAGTCTAACTGTTTATTCTTTTGTACAGACAACTAATGTAGAATTGCTCGAGGCTCAATGCTAACTTACTGCATAGGGGCAACATCGAGGGTTTTTTTCTCGGGAAAACCGGAGATGCCGCCCAGGCCATGATATTTCCGAAACATAACAGTCGACTTCGATATATTATATAACTGTTTTATCGCATGATAAACATCAGGAAGAATTTTGATTAGACATAAAATTTAAATTGATTTATTTTGCTTCCGGCTCTTATTACACTTAATTCCCCACGCGGAACCTCAATTACTTTTTAACGTAAGGGCCAATCAGAAGTATGGTAGGTGTTCCTGATCGGTTGGATGACCCGCAGACGCTATGTAACAGTAAATGGATTTGTTATTTTCTCGGGGACTTGAAATTAAAAATATTGCGAGAATTGCTACTCATGAAATGTTTGTACAGGCAGTGCTTCCTTGCACCAAAAATGATTAAAGGGTTTTAGAATAAGTACGTGCAAGCCCCAGACAATTTTTTTATGACAGCCATATCCCTAGTACCCCATTATCTTTCCCCACCCTAAAAATGTTCTTTGTTATTTTTACGCTAAACCGTCCCACGGATTTATACTCGAGTTCATAATTTGTTATAAGTAAACTCAATTCAAAAATTGCACTTTTAAAACAAATTTCATATTTTTTGACAGATGATATGAAAGTGTAATACTATAATGCATTGAAAACAGATGCAATTACCACATGGGCTTATTGGTATTTAAAAGTGAACATAATCTTGCACCAAAATATAATTATATCTGACCTACTAGTTTTTCTCATATTGGTAAATTCAGCGCATAAATATCTTTCTTACATCAGGCAACGGACAAATCATTTACAGACAAAGCGACATATTAATGGAATACATTTCCAGCTGACATTTTAAACTACATAATAAATTGTCAACTAAAGGATAAATTTTTTTAAAAAAAAAAAAACAGCTTAAAGCACTATCACTTTGAACTGATGTTTTTAGATTTGTTTCCTTGTTAACATTGATGGATGATTGCATGTGGGTACTTATTTTTATTATAAGTTATTACTTTCCATGAAAATGCTATGTATTTTTGAAAGAGTGTTTGTCGTAATGATATTGTTGTTTATTGTTGTTTATATATCTATAACATAAATATATATTGTTGTTTATGTATAATGTAAAAGGCCATATTGAAATTAAGTTGTATGATTATTATGTACTCTTATTATGTCACAATTATCGCTTGATGCCGCATTTTTTCTTACATGTTCCCCGCAGTTTTAGAAAATTCAAATAAAGCGCAGTTTTGTTAGTTCACTAGGTTCATGTATATCTGTGACCGTATACAACATAAGCCACCACCGATTGGGACAACGCTCGACTTTTTTACTATTTTATAACTATTCCTTAGAATCAGGGTCTTTCAAAAAGGAAGACCCTGTTAGAATATACATTTGTATTTATTCTGAAAAAAAAAATGTTGCACACCAGTGAATTATTGGTCTAGATCTGCATCAAATGAAACTTTAATTTCGAAAAATTATTTCCAGTCCCACTATGTCAATATAACTTCAGTGGAGTCACTATCTATGTAGAATAATATCTGCCCAATAGTTTTAAAGAGATGAATATATGTACAAACAAGATTAAACTCATCTTAATGCTTTATTTTTTCTTTAGATTCAACTCGATTTCATATAGATTATTAGAAATATTATGTATATCATGTTTCCATTTGCAGAAATAACTTATATCCTTGTTTATTTGAGAGAAATCTTTTATGAATTTCAACAGACCGAATAAAAGCGAGTTTGCCTTTTTTAACTGATTAGTTTTTGTTGTGTCCTCATTACTCAAATGTGACCACACTCAAGCGGTCATCTTTCATCTTTTTAACCTGGATCCCAGCCTAAAATATCACAGAAATTGCTGAACTATTTTAGTGATTTCTGGTTATATTTCAATTTTTACAACTAAAACAAATCATCTGTACAGACAGATATATAGACATGTATAGAAACGCGACAACAAACAGATGTGAAAACGGACGATTGCGCTGACAAGACAAACATGTTTTCTAGCTTTAATATCTGTTTAATTTGTGAACACTTAAACAAATGTTGTTTAGACCAGAGCTCGAGTGGGACTGCACATATAGCAATTTAGATAAAAAACAAATATCTTTCTTGGCAGAAAGGCACAATGAATTTACCTGAGCATAGTTCAGCCACCGCATTGTTCATGGCCAAGCAATTTACAGGTACTACTTTCCTTCAATTTCGCAAGGAACTGGTAACGTCTGTACATGCCAGAGCAGAGGTTCAAAGCCAATAACCGTAAATAAATATGCATGATCAATCACAACGAAAGTGACCTGTGCCGTCCGGGAATCGAACCCGCTGAGTAAACAGTCAACAGAGTACATATATCTAAAGATATCATTACTTCACTCATATAGTGTTAGGCAGAAAAAATAACATTTAATGATATGACTAATATAAACAAGTGTTAGTAAAATGAAACAGTTATTAATTTCCACTAAGTTTTAATACAAAATGTTGTCAACGATCAATAATAGTAAAACCAGAGGTTTAAGGTTAAAAAAATGTAGCTGAAATTATATATTTCTCTCTAGGCCTTGTCATAGCGAACATAATTATGTACTTTACTGAAACCTTTATGAATCTTCTCCTAATGAAAATAAAAATGCTTTGTAATAAAAGTCGTATTCTGTCATATTTTGTCTGGAATTTGCCATAGTAAAATGGTTTTATTTTACAAATTTGCCATAGTAAAATGGTTTTATTTTACAAATTTGCCATAGTAAAATGGTTTTATTTTACAAATTAATAGGTATTGTATTGGGAAGCTATCCATATACAAAATGGCATACTTAGTTGAGAGAAAATCAAATGCTTCAACTACACTTCCAAGCAGCTTTCCTTGGGGGATCTAGAGTGGTTTTGTTTACCTTCAACAATATGTGAATATGTGGAAGAAAAAAAAAACACTTTTAAGTTAACACATGTTGTAAGTAAATTTATACTAAAGGAATTGTGTTGTTTTCGTCATATTTAACCGGATGTTAGATTTAATTACCAGCAACTGCAACCGAAAGCAACTAGTCAAAGTCCAACGAATTTATTATTCGATCATGAATACAAAAATACAATGACTTTTCGACCGATTTTCTTTTGCTGCTGCTGAAAGAATACCCGGAAATAGTAACTGTCATATGTTGTGGTTCAGATCGGAATATCGTCCCTCGGGGACACGCCCGATGGGCGGTACCGCAAACGTATATCAGATACTTTTTCTTACATATTCTACATATTTAAAAATAAAAAAAATAACAAGGTGAATTTCACAAGCAAGAGAAGATCTAAGTATCTCGTATAAATTCCTTAATACTTCAAGTATAAACTTGCAACAAATTAAACGAAGATAATTGTAAATATCTATTTATTCCAGACCTAGACCTGCTACAGTCTGAAGAATACATTGCACATAGATACGAGTCCCTACAGACTCATCATGCGTGTAAAGCAGAAAAATCAAGTGGCTGTGAATTATTAACCTTTTAAGAAATTTAAAGGCGATAACTCGTAAACGAGCTGTGTAAAACCCAAATTTGTTAAGCTTTTGTCATTTTCTAAGATCATCCTTAGTATAAATAAATCCAATCCTTAAATAGTTATCATTATGTCTAAAATTTATGCTATTATGTACTTTAAACAAATTTGTAATGTACATTAATATCACCAAAAATACTACTGTACTATGCATTTCCATTGCATTCCATACCCATGTGAGTGCAGACACATTTCCATTGCATTCCATACCCATGTGAGTGCAGACGTGATGATACTATACGAGCATGTTCATACAGTAAATAATAAGGTGACGCCAATCATTTTGGACCACATACCGTAGCATCAGAGCTGCATCTGTATCAAGAGCATGTCTACAAGCAATTCCATTAAACTCCGTATTAAAACTGCCCGATGGACAAATGCAAAATGTTTTGCAAGGTTTTATAACAAACCCATTTCGAGTTCAAATCCAACCATGATGCTATATAACAAATTTGGAGTATATGACATTGATGGCGTTTGTTAAAAAAACTTGAAATATGTTACATGGATGGTGTGTGTTAATAAAATAGGATCAATAAAAAGAATAAAATTGACATTTGAGCCGCGTCATGACAAAACCAACATAGTGCGTTTGCGACCAGCATGGATCCAGACCAGCCTGCGCATCCGCACAGTCTGATCAGGATCCATGCTGTTCGCTATCAGTTTCTCTACTTGTAATAGGGTTGGTAAGCGAACAGCATGGATCAAGATCAGACTGCGCGGATGCATGCTGGTCTGGATACATGCTGGTCGCAAACCCATTATGTTGGTTTTGTCATGGCACGGCTCATTTCATTAAACTATACTTTTATGATTTATGAAAAAAAATCATGTAAGTCTCTTTCTTCCTCACTAGACCTTAATTGTTTAGTTGTAAAAGTCACTTTTCATAAAATATTGATGTTCCGTGTTATTGTGTCCATAATGAATAACACAGCATTTGTCTACATTAAATTGCATTTACTACTTTTCACTCCATTGTATTAAACTATCATTGTCATTTTGTATCTGGTTAAAGCCTTCATTTACATTTGCCAGATTAAATAATGTTGTGTCATCCGCAAAGTATCGTCGGTTACCCACGGTATATATTCCGTACATATTACATTATCTAGATGATGTAGATAATGTAATATGTACGGAATATATACCGTGGGTAACCGACGATGTCCGCAAAGTGACGCAAGGTACTTTTAATTTGACTTTCAATGTCATTAATGAATACAAGAAACAATATTGGTCCTCGAACACTTCCCTGTGAAACACCACTTGTTACACTACAATAGTCAGATTAACTATTATTAACAACAACAACGCACTGAGTTCTGTTTGTAAGGAATGCTTTGATCCATGATAAAAGTGCACCACCAATACCATAAGATTGC